ATAACGTGGGGAGACCTATATTCATCCCTAAATAATGCCCTACTCCACTGGGTCTGAGGCATGGGATCTGAATTAGCAGCATCACCAATACCTAGGAGCTTGTTAGAAGAAATGCAAAACTGGCTGGGCACAGTGGCTCATGCCTGTAATCTCAGCAATTTGGGAGGCCAAGGCAGGCGGATCACCTGAGGTCAGGAGTTTAAGACCAGCGTGGCCAACATGGTGAAACCCTGTCTCTACTAAAATACAAAAATTAGCCGGGCATGGTGGTGGGTGCCTGTGGTCCCAGCTGCTTGGGAGGCTGAGGCAGGAGAATCGCTTGAACCCAGGAGGTGGAGGTTCAGTGGAGCTGAGATTGTGCCACTGCACTCCAGCCTGGGCTTCAGAGTACAACTCTGTCTCAAAAAAAAAAAAAAAAAAAAAAGCAAATTCTTGAATCCCACACCACTCCTGCAAAATCAGAAATGCTGGGGGAGCCCTCCAGGTTTTCTGGAGCGTGCTAAAGTTTGAGAAGCACCATTCTACTCAATTCCATTTAGCTGCTTTTCAAACGGACCTATATTCTTGGTTCTTTTCTGTTCTTTTTTCTTGAGACGGTGTCTTACTCTTGACCAGGCTGGACTGCAGTGGTGCAATCTCCACCCTCCAGGTTCAAGCTGTTCTCCTGCCTCAGCCTCCCGAGTAGCTGGGACTACAGGTGCGTGCCACCATACTCGGCTAATTTTTGTATTTTCAGTAGAGATGGGATTTCACCACGTTGGCCAGGCTGGTCTCAAACTCCTGACCTCAAGTGATCCACCTGCCTTGGCCTCCCAAAGTGGTGGGATTACAGGCATGAGCTACCATGCCTGTCCATATTCTTTTTCTTCTAAATATCTCTTTGTGTGTACATAATAAAAAATTAAATAGTACAGCACATAATAAAAAAATTCAACCCTGCCCTCCCTAGAAGCACACTGAACTTTTCTCTTTTTAATTCTAAAGAATAAGCTAAGTAATATTCTTATATGCCTATTTTGAAATGTACTATCTTGGTGTCCATCAACTCCGTATTCTAAGAGATGAAAATTTAGCTAGCCAACTCTTCCACTTAACTGTTACATTATTTTTAAGTTCTACTTGTTTCCTATGTTTTAAAAATCTACTCAATCCTCTGTAGTTCTAATACTTTCCAACAACTTTTTATCTCAATTTAAAAAAAATCACACCTATTCACTTACGTAATTTTTTTTTTTTTTTTAAATTTTGAGACAGGGTCTCCCTCTGTCATCCAGGCTGGAGGCACGATCTTGGCTCACTGCAACCTTTGCCCCCCGGGTTCAAGCAGTCCTCCCACCCCAGCCTCACCAGTAGCTGTGACTACAAGTGCATGCCACTATGTATGACTAATTTTTGTATTTTTTTTTTGTACAGATGGGGTCTCACCGTGTTGTCCAAGCTGGTCTCAAACTTCTGGGCTCAAGTGCTCTGCCAGCCTCGACCTCCCAAAGTGCTGGGATTATAGGTGTGAGTCACGTGCCTGGCCCATTTATATAATTTTAAAAGTCAAAATGATTCTATAGTATTTAATGAAAGAGTCCTTGCTCCTTTACCCGCATTACAGATTCTTACTCCCTAAAAGCAACTACTTTCAACGGTTTCTCCTAGTATTTGCTTCCATGTTCACGTTGCCCAGGCCAGAATGCAGTGGCGAGATCTCGGCTCACTACAACCTCTAACCCTGGGGTTCAAGTGATTCTCCCGCCTCAGCCTCCTGAGTAGCCAGGATTACAGAGGTGTACCACCACGACCGGCTACTTTTTTGTATTTTTAGTAGAGACAAGGTTTCTCTATGTTGGCCAGGCTGTGCTTCCATATTCTTAAATAACAGTTTTACTTCTACTTCTTGATTTTAAAATTTTTGATATCTAATTACTTCTTATTGTGGAAGATAAAGATTTAACTCACATTTTCCTTCTACCAAAACACCACAAATCCCCATGCTACTAATAATTCATGCAGCCAGGCGTGGTGGCTCATGCCTGTAATTCCAGCACTTTGGGAGGCCAAGGCAGGCAGATCACTTGAGGTCCGGAGTTTGAGACCAGCCTGGCCAGCGTGGTAAAATCCCATCTCTACTGAAAATACAAAATTAGCCAGGCATGGTGGTGCATGACTGTAGTCCCAGCTACTTGGGAGGCTGAGGCAGGAGACTTGCTTGAACCCGGGAGATGGAGGTTGCATTGCACTCCAGCCTGGACAACAGAGTGAGACTCCGTCTCAAAAAAATAAAATAATAATAATTCATTCATACTAATGTTTGGTTATATTGATTTTTATTATTATGACATCATAGTTACATAATGTTATTATTTACTTATTTAGAGCTGGGCGACAGAGTGACTATGAGTGCAGTGCTGAGTGCGGTGCTATGATCATAGCTCACTGCAGCCTCAAACTCTTGTGCTCAAGTGATCTTCCTGCCTCAGTCTCCGAGCAGCTAGTTTCTATGTGCTTTTTTTTTTTTGAGACGGAGTCTGACTCTTGTTGCCCATGCTGGGGTGCAATGGGGTGATCTTGGCTCACTGCAACCTCTGCCTTCCGGGTTCAAGCGATTCTCCTGCCTCAGCCTCCTGAGTAGCTGGGATTACAAGCATGTGCTACCACACCTGGCTAATTGTGTCTTCTTATTTATTTGTGAGGAAGACAGAGCTGAACAAATTATATCAATATGTGCAAATATCAATACAAGATTTTGCTAAGGGAGAGCCTTTTTTTCTGGTCAGTTACATTTGAAGTAGGCTCCTCGTAAGGTCTTTGTAATTCAAGGTCCTGGGCTCCACACTGAAGAGCTGCACCGTACTGCCTCTAGGGGTCAGCATAACGCGAAGGATGAGCAAGCACAGCCACCCATTTCAGAAAGCAAAGATTTGTAGGGTGGAGGAAGGAATGCAGGTAACTATGCAGGTTTCCACTGAAAGTGAGGATGAGGAGTTGAGGGGAAGCAGATTCTATGCCCAGTCCACACACTGTTTTGATTTGTGTTCCATAGACGATCAGGGACCCAAATAATTTAATAATATTTGGCCTATCACATAAACTCCCTTGAAATTAGTGACAGGATTTTCTTTTCTTTTCCTTTACAATTTTAACTTAAAGACCAGTGTGATAGTAAACTGACAGGATTTTCATTATACCCCTCATACATACTGAAAGCCACTTACTTTTTAAAATTTTACTTTATTTTATCATCATTATTATTATACTTTAAGTTTTAGGGTACATGTGCACAACGTGCAGGTTTGTTACATATGTATACATCAGTCATTTACTTTTTAAATGTCTGTTTTGACACTTTGGACTTAGACCACAGATATTAAACACCACAAATTGCTTGTCCCAAATGTAATGGTTTTTCTTTTTTTCTAATTTTTATTTTTTATTATTAAATATCTATCTATTTTTTTTTTGTAGAGATGGGTATCATACCATATTGCCCAGGCTGGTCTCAAAACTCCCAGGCTCAAGCAATTCTCCTGCCTTGGCCTCCTAAAGTGTTGGGATTACAGGTGTGAGCCACTGTGCCCAGCTATATAATGGTTTTTCAATTCGAACTTCCTATATATTTTTTATTTATTTTGAGCCAGGGTCTCACTCTGCTGCCCAGGCAGGAATGCAGTGGCACAATCATGGCTCACTGTAGCCTCCAACTCTTAGGCTCAAGCCATCCACCTACTTCAGTCTCTTGAGTAGCTAGGACTACAGACACACACCACCACGCCAGGCTAACTTCTTTATTTTAATTTTTTTTAGAGATGGGGTCTTGCTATGACCTAGGCTGGTCTTGAACTGCTGGCCTCAAGTGATCCACCTGCTTCAGCCTCCCAAAGTGCTGGGACTATAGGTGTGAGCCATTGCACCCAGCCCAAATTTCTTATTTTAAGGCTAGAATGATGAGTGGCTGGCTGGCCCTCTCTCTAAGGTAGTAAACGGTGGGCTTTATTCTTTTTATCTATAAACTATTTTATTTTATTTTTGAGACAGTCTCACTCTGTTACCCAGGCTGGAGTACAGTGGAGTAATCTCGGCTCACTGCAACCTCCTTCTCCCGGGTTCAAGTCATTCTCCTGCCTCAGCCTCCAGAGTAGCTGGGATTACAGGCACCCATCACCACCCCTGGCTAATTTTTGTATTTTAATAGAGACGAGGTTTCACCATGTTGTCCAGGCTGCTCTTGAACTCCTGACCTCATATGATCCACCTGCCTCAGCCTCCCAAAATGCCAGGATTCCAGGTATAGGCCGCCGCGCCTGGCTACCTATAAACCATTTTATATTACCTCTGCAGAAGTGTGGTAAGCATACATTTCTGGGGAAACTCATTAATGAAACTCACTGCCATTATGCTGCCCCTCAGTCACTGCATGGTGTCAATCTCAGAGACATTTGAAGGGCTAAAATATAAGCAGGGGTAATTAACAGCACACTTTACTTTTATATCTTGGTATATTTCCTCGTGCCTCGGAACAATACTGCTGGGGACCACAGCTGATTTTCTGCCTTGGTTGATGACTGCTATGCAGTGAGAATTTAACAGTGTTGGCAATCTATGCTACAAGAAAAAGAGCATTGTATTTTTCCTCTTCCTTTAAGGGGAAAAGAAGAAACAGCACTTGGGCAGTTCAGTAACAGTCTTTGGGCATAAGAAAAGAAATCATTTCTTATTCCTTACAAACTGATTTACAAAAGAACACTGGAAGCTAAAAGCCGTGTTGATTTATCATGTGAAGCAGAGAGTAATTTTTCTCCCCTTGTTATGCTTTCATATAATCATGCTCACTGCCTGTATGGGTGGCATTAAAGAATTTTTGAATAAAAATAATAATTTCTTGCTTTCAACCTTCATAATTCACATCAGCAAGCACCCTGCTGGGTGGCGATGCCTACTGCCAGTGACGCTTAATCTTTTTTGCGTGCCACTTATCTGCCTCGCACAGCTGCGTGCTCCATTGATCGCAATACCTGCAGGATAATGCGCCCGAAGGCGTTCTTCAGCAGATTAACCACATCCGCGTGAGACAGCCCATCCAAAGGTTGCCCGTTAATGCTGACAATCCGATCCCCAACCTGGAAGCATAAAAGTGACAGAAAATCACTATCATTAAGAAAAATTAAATTTGAGAAGAATGCTTAAAATTCTTTGCAAGTCCTATTTCCCATTGGTGGCTATTGTGAGGATTCGGCGTTACTACTGTGTATACATGTTCAAGAAGCATGAGGAATTTTTTTGGCTTTCCCCAAATACAGACAAATCAGAGCAACAAGAAGGGGGTCAGATTTGATTATTAAAAAGCACAGTAGGCCACTTTTGTATTTTGGTAATGGTGGTGTTTCATACATCCATTGCCAGTAATAGCGAGGTGTACACATTAACTGTTCAATAAAGTTCTAATGAGGAAGCCAAATATTTTCTGCTTTATTTTTCTACTGAAATTAAGATTAAGGGGCAACAAGGGGGAGAAATCATAAAAATGGTGATTCTTTTGATTGAGGGAAGACTCTAAGGTCAAATGTCTCTCAGTTGAGAGCTGAGTTTGGGTGAAATGAGGTGCTTAAAAGGGTAAAGGAGGGTTTGCAAAGGGGCTGCAATTTCTTCTTTTATTGAGAAGCTTTGATACAAATAATAATATTTTTACGTGCCTGGGGACCTAATGAATTTCTAAAGGTATAAAGCTTCTTTAATGCATCTTGCCCTCAGCCTGGGTCTCTGATGGCTATTGGAATTCCAGTTTTAAACAAGGTGCCCAGGGCTGCAACTTCCTCTCCCACCCCACCACATGCTGTTAGCCCTTCAACCAGTTATCTTTTGTTTACTTTAAGCTTCTGTGTCCGTGCAGCCACTCCACTGGCCTGAATCATGGCAATAAATATAGGGATATCTCCTAAGGGACTTCCTCTTCCTCCAGCAATACTGATTCCAAGGGCATCACTGAGCTCCTAAAAAAGAAAGAAAACATAACGCTTATATTTTTAATAAAGAGCCACAAACTGACTATCCCCAGATAGCTGTTGAACAAAATCCCCCCATGAGGTAGGAGGCCAAGATAACACAGGAGTTAAATGTGGAGACTTCGGAGTAGACAGCTCTAGCTCTTTTTTTTTTTTGAACAAAGTTTCGCTCTTGTTGTCCAGACTGGAGTGCAATGGCACGATCTCAGGTCACTGCAACTTCTGCCTTCCAGGTTCAAGCAATTTTCCTGCCTCAGTCTCCTGAGTAGCTAGGATTACAGGTGCACGCCATCACGCTTGGCTAATTTTTTGTATTTTTAGTAGAGACAGGGCTTCACCATGTTGGCCCGGCTGGTCTTGAACTCCTGACCTCAGGTGATCCACCCGTCTTGGTCTCTCAGAGTGCTGGGATTACAGGTGTGAGCCACCGTGCCCAGCCCCAGCTCTAGCTCTTAATTAGTTGTGGGGTCTTGGGGGAAGTTATTTAACCTTGTGAAAATTGTCAGAATCAAATTGGAGTCACTTGTGTTAAAAAAAAAATCCTTACCAATAGAGCCAGGAAAGGCTATGAAGAAAGGGTTCTCAGGCTTGTATGCCTGATAACAAAAATTATCACAAAAGACTGCAAAAACCACAACCCTGCAGGAAGGACGTCACAACCTTACATAAAAAAAAGTTTCCACAAGTGCATTTGTCCGGCAAATGCCTGTCCAGCCTTGGGCTGTGTGTCACCCCTGTTATTAATCTTTGTAGCCAAGGATAATTATCTCAAAATAATTATATATTCCTCATTTTGTCCTCTAAAAATTTTTATTTTCCTTACCTGCCTGAATATGCACGTAGTCTACCATGGCCCGCATATTCCCATTCCTCAATAAACACCATTTTCTTTTAGAGAGCCTCTCTGTTTGTTATTTAGGCTGACTACCTCTTAAAGCCTCCATCTCTATATATAAAATGAGAAGAATACTACATACCTGACAGTGTTGGTCTGAGCATTAAATGAGATGGTATGGCACACTCATGGCCTACAGAAAAGGCTCAATAAAAGGCAATAGCAGGAGTAAATTAAACACACACACACACACACACACACACACAACGCCCTATGCAGCTGCTTAGTTTAGTGGCCAATTCTGATGCAGACTTGGCAAGTATATTCTCATATGGTGTTTATGATTAAACTGCCACACATACTATGCTCTTCTGGGTGTGAACAAACACATTTGGCTTTAAAAGACTGCGTTAAAACAAAGGATCTGAGAGGACACCCACTGTAGTGACAACAGTTTGAAGAGAGACATAAAATGTGGCTGAAAATGTTCCCCAAGATGGACTCTGGTGAAGAGACTTGGCTCTAGTCCAGTCTTTTCCCACATTAGTATCATAGGGTTAATATTTTTAAAATCACTAAAAGAACAAATGACAAGTCCCAGTTCTGGCATGGTAGCACAGACACGTGACAGCATCTCTCTCCTGCTGGTTACAATCAAGATGTCTAGTCAAAATGTAAAAAACAACTACCTGGGGCCTCTGAAACAAAAAGAAACCAAATAAAATGTGGTGGAGAGTCAAAACTCGGAGAAACGACAGCAGCGAGGGGAAATTCCCAGTTTTATTTTTTTTTCCTGGCAGCTTTACCCTGAGGGCGATTCCCAGTCAAGGAGCTGGAAAGGTAGGCTGAATGCTAACATTCAGATAGAAATTCCATCCTTCTAGGCAGAAGAATCAGGAAAAAGAGGGAAAGAGAAGAAAAGCAGAGTAGAGGAAGCTGAAGAAAACGAATCCTCAGTTCTGTTTGTGAACCCACAGAACTCTCAGGCTACGTATGTGTGGGACAGACCCAAACCAGCATAGCAGAAGCTTAGAGGCTGAGTGCGGTGGCTCACTCCTGTAATCCCAGCACTTTGGGAGGCCGAGGTGGGTGGATCACTTGAGGTCAGGAGTTTGAGACCAGCCAGGCCAGCATGGTGAAACCCTGTCTCTAATGAAAATACAAAAAATTAGCTGGGCATGGTGGCATGCACCTGTAATCCCAATTACTTGGGAGGCTGAGGGAGGACAATGACTTGAACCTGGGAGGTGGAGGTTTCAGTGAGCCGAGATTGCACCAGTGCACTCCAGTCTGGGCAACAGAGCGAGACTCTCTCAGAAAAAAAAAGAAAGAAATTTCTGCTTGGCTCACGTGTGGTAGAATAGGGTAGGTAGGAGCAGGCTTTACTACAAAAGCCTGTAAAAACAAGTGGCTGAAATGACTAAGGAAATATAAAATAATATTATTTTTGAAATCTTAGGGGAGAAATGTATGCAATAATTTTTGGCTTTGTTTAAATCCATCATGATGTTTCCTTAATTTATCCATAATTATCTACACTGTTGGTACATTTAACTTCCCCATGATAGGAACATTTGAGTTGCTACTCTGGTGGAAAAATACTGGGAACAAATAAGGCAGATTTAGTCAAAGCTGTAGCTAATAACAACAGAGCCACTTCCTAGGCATTCTTGATGCACTAGGTACTATGCTAAAGATATTACATTCATTACCTCACTTAATCCACACAACAATATTTACCTTTGAGGTAAGTTAGTGTTATCACTCCCATTCTACAGACGCGAAAATTGAGGTTGAGGTTGACTTGCTAACTATTATAGAGCTAATGGCCTTTTTTTTTTTTTTTTTTGAGACAGGGTTTTATTCTGTCGCCCAGGCTGGAGTGCCGTGGCATGATCACGGCTCACTGCAGCCTCAACCTCCTGAGCTCAAGCGATCCTCCCACTTCAGCCTCCCAACTAGACCACAGGCATGCACCACCATGCCTGACTAATTAAAAAAAAAATTATTTGTAGAGACAGAGTTTCCCCATATTGCCCAGGCTGGTCTCAAACTACTGGGTTCAGTGATCCTCCCACCTCAGCCTCCCACAATGCTGGGATTACAGGTATGGGCCACCACACCCAGCTGTACAGCTAATGTACAGGCTGAATTGTGTCCCCCTAAGAATCACATGCTGAAGCCCTAAGTACCAGGGCCTCAAAATGTGACTGTATTTGGAGATAGGGCCTTTAAAATGAGGCCAGGGTGAGCCCCAGTCCCATGTGACTGGTGTCCTTATAAGAAAAGATTAGGACATAGGAGAGACACCAGGGATGATGAGTGACATACAAAAAAGGCCACGTGAGGCTACAGCAAGAAAGCGGACATCTGCATTCCAAGGAGGGGGGCCTCAGGAAAAACCAAACGTGCAGACACCTTCATCTTGGATCTAGCCTTCAGAACTGTGAGAAAATAAATTCCCGTTGTTTAAGCCACCCAGTCTGGGGTGTTTTGTAACTGCAGATCTAGCAAACTAATGCAGCTAATAAATGGTAGAATGCTCTCAAACAGAGGTATCATTAAATCTAGAGAAGTAAGCTCTGCTGGATATCACTTTACTGCAGTGGATTACCATGATTACAACAAGGTCATTATTTGTTCTTGAACCCCTCATTTAGGTCAAAGTGAGCAAAATAAAAGTCTACTTTTGGCCGGGGCTGGTGGCTCATGCCTATAATCCCAGCACTTCAGAAGGCTGAGGAGGTTGGATCACTTGACGGCAGGAGTTCGAGACTAGCCAGGCCAACATGGAGAAACTGTGCCTCTACAGAAAATACAAAAATTAACCAGGCGTGGTGGTGCATGCCTGTAGTCTCAGCTACTTGGGAGACTGAGGCACGAAAATTGCTTGAACCCCGGAGGTGGAGGTTGCACTGAGCTGAGATCGCGTCACTGCATTTCAGCCTGGGCGACACAGTGACTCCATCTCAAAAAGAAAAAGAAAAAGAAAAAAAGAGTCTACTTTCATTAGATATCATCACAGAGGAGTCTGAAAATCAGGGTTCAACAAATTTATGAACTGAAATACATCTTATACAATCTTCTCAAAAGCGGAATTTAGCAACATGTATAAAAGTCTCTAATAACAAACTTGGCTTTTGACCCCGAAATTTCATTTCTAGGAATTAATCCTGAGGAAATTACTCATGATATGGGCAAAAATATAAAGATGTTTTACTATAAAAGATAGCAAAAATCGAGAAATATGCTAATTGTTCAATAATAGGAAACTGGTTAAGAAACTTATAGCATGTTTGGCTGGGTACAGTGGCTCACTCCTGTAATCCCAGCACTCTGGGAGGCTGAGGCGGGCAGATCATGAGGTCAGGAGATCAAAATCATCCTGGCTAACACAGTGAAACCCTGTCTCTACTAAAAACACAAAAAATTAGCTGGGTGTGGTAGCGGGCGTCTGTAGTCCCAGCTACTCGGGAGACTGAGGCAGGAGAATGGTGTGAACCCGGGAGGCGAAGCTTGCAGTGAGCTGAGATCATGCCACTGCACTCCAGCCTGGGTGACAGAGCAAGACTCTGTCTCAAAAAAAAAAAAAAAAAAAAAGAAAAGAAACTTATAGCACATTCATATGCTGGAGTACTATGAAATCAATAAAAATCATGCCACATGCTGTCAAAAAATACTCACTTAGTATGTGCCACATGATACCATTTTTGTTTTATAAAACTTTACATGTACAGGTTAAAAGACTAAGATTGAAAAAAAAGTAAAACTTACAGGCACAGAATATAGTGGATGAGATTTGCCAAAAAATTCATAGAGGTCATCTCTGTGCTCTACTGTACTTTTCTAAGTCTATTTATTGATGTTATTTAGACCATATTTTTATCTCAGTAACTTGAAAGAGCACACTTACAATCCAATAAATTGTATTGGGGAAAATGTACATTTAATGCAAATCCAACACAAACCAGAAAAACATATATAGCAAAATGACTGACTTACCCTGTTTATCTCAACAGTCCTTGGTTCCATATCTGTGCCTATAAAGAAGCAACACAATTAACTTTTTAACATTAAAAAATAATATATTTAGGATATAATATTGTCCCATGAAAAATGGTTTCATTTTCTCGGTCTTTCAAGATAAGACACTAAAGCAAGCAGGTATTGTACACCCCTCCTCAGCATCCAAGCTGGTAGCCAAGTCACCAGGGGCCATGTCCTCTTTTTTTTTTCTTTTGAGACAAGTCTCGCTTTGTCACCCAGGCTGGAGTGCAGTGGCACCATCTCAGCTCACTGCAACCTCTGCCTCCCAGATACAAGCAATTCTCCTGCCTCTGCCTCCAAACAGCTGGGATTACAGGCGCCCGCCACCATGCCCAGCTAATTTTTGTATTTTTAGTAGAGACCCGGTTTCACCAAGTTGGCCAGGCTGGTCTCAAACTCTCAACTTCAAGTGACCCACCGTACCCAGCCTGCTGTGTCCTCAGCTACTCGGGAGACTGAGGCAGGAGAATGGTGTGAACCCGGGAGGCGAAGCTTGCAGTGAGCTGAGATCATACCACTGCACTCCAGCCTGGGTGACAGAGCAAGACTCTGTCTCAAAATGATAGGAACATTTGAGTTGCTACTCTGGTGGAAAAATACTGGGAACAAATAAGGCAGATTTAGTCAAAGCTGTAGCTAATAACAACAGAGCCATCTCTGCCTCTTGGGTTCAAGGGATTCTCCTGCCTCGGCCTCCCGAGTAGCTGCGATTACAGGCATGTGCCACCACGCCCGGCTAATTTTTGTATTTTTAGTAGAGGCGAGGTTTCTCCATGTTGGCCAGGCTGGTCTCGAACTCCTGACCTCAGGTGATCCGCCCGCCTTGGTCTCCCAAAGTGCTAGGACTACAGGCATGAGCCACCGCGCCCAGCAGAGTCATCTGTGTTTCATTGTACATTTTTTTCTACCTTAATCAAAGATAACCCTTCATTCAACAAAAGACTTAAAAGGACCCCTTGTCCCATCCTGTCCCCAAGGATATACACACTTTTTTTTCTTTTTAACTGGCCCAATTTTCCCATAGAAGGTATACACACTTCTACCTTTCTTCAGTGACCTGTAATTTATTAATTTTCTCTTTGTAAATAATTTTACTTTATGATGCACTCCAGCTTTCTGCTTTTCTGTTTTTCAGGTGCTCTGTGTTGTGCCACTGAAGGAATTTCTTTTTTTTTTTTTCTTGAGACGGAGTGTTGCTCTGTCACCCAAGCTGGAGTGCAGTGGCACCATCTCAGCTCACTGCAACCTCTACCACCCCCTCCAGGTTCAAGCAATTCTCCTGCCTCAGCCTCCCAAGTAGCTGGGACTATAGGCGTGTGCCACCACAACCAGCTAATTTTTTTGTATTAATAGAGACGGGGTTTCGCCATGTTGGTCTCGAACTCCTGACCTCAGGTCATCTGCCTGCCATGGCCCTCCCAAAGTGCTGGGATTACAGGCATGAGCCACCATGCCTGGCCACCACTGAAGGAATCTCTATGGCTTTCTTACCTTCAGAACAGGCCTTTCAGAAAGCTCAGCTTATGCAGCCAAGCTCAAAAAATTAAAAAACATTTAAATTAAAGAGGACTTTTTAAAAAAACACATATATATATATATATATTTTTTTTTAATTTGGGTAACAGGATAGTTTTGCTGTGGGGTGTGTCTGTGTATATAATACCTGAATTTTTCTGGGAAGGATCTGAAACTCTTTTTGTGCCAACCAGGTTTTGCAGGCCAGTGATGACAGGAGCGAAGGAGGGATGACAGCTGCTGTGTGCGCTCTGTTGACTGCCCTGAAAGAAAGACCCAGGGGTCACCTGTGTGCAGACACTGACTTGGCCCCCAAAATGCATACTTATCCATTAGTGTGCCAATTACTGACGTCACCATAACCATCTAACAGAAAATCATGAAGAGGCCAAGAAAGAAAACAAAAATCACCCACACTTATTCTCTTACTACCTCAACCCAATCCCATTTAGACATTTTCCCCATTGCTTTCTCCATTATATGTGCTTTTGTATATGGTTTCAATCACCAAGATGAAGAACATACAATCATTTCAGCTGTTCTTGCTCCACATAAAATCAAAACCATTTTCCTAGGTTGCCACATAGTGTTTATGTATATAGCGTCAGCTAATGGGCACTATGTTTCATTTGGGGTTACAGTCAACCTTATTACCCAAAATGTATTATGTATTTTGCTAAAACAAGTATAATAAGACCTTGATTAGCAGAAACCTGCCAAAATAGAACCCTCAATAGTGGGGAAAAAAGCACCAAATCTCAAGGGTTTTTAAAAAGGCTTCTTTTAGGGATATATAACATTTTTTCTCAAATATTTTCCTAGAATCCGTAATAATTTAGTCCAATCTGCTAGACCTCCATTACTTGTCCCTTTATTCATTTAAATGAATATGTGAGGTTAATACTGTGTAGTCTTTTAAGGCTACTGGCTATTCAACAAAAATTGTATACATAGTGAAGAGCCTTCTTTATGTAGACAACAGTATTGCAAATAATGAGTAATTTTTTCTAATGAATTATTCTGCATCAAAACTTTAAGCTAAACCTAAGATCACCATTATCAGTTCATAAATTATAATTTGGTACATTTTCTTGACTCTCTGATGAAAATTTTGTTTAATATTTTAATTCCTAAAATATGAAAACCCTCAAATATATAGAAAAGCTGAATTATACAATAGACGTCCATATAAATGGCACCTAGATTTCACAATTAGTATTTTGCTATGTTTCCTTTATCACATAGTTATTTATCTATTCATCACTCATCTATTTCTTTTTTTAAATTCATTTCAAAGTAAGTTGCAGATCTCAATATACTTCACAGTGGCTATATACATTTAAAAGAGTGTTTTTATATTTTTCCTTAAAGGATATGATTTAAATAAATGGTACTATAATAGATAACTACTCAGAACAGGAAGTGCAGCATATTATAACTTTTGCCTTTAAAAAATTTCAGAAAGATGTGTTTGCCAAGACCTTTATTGTATTGTATTATAATTTTTGAGGAGTCTCCCTCTGTCACCCAGGCTGGAGTGCACTGGCACAGTTTCAGCTCACTGCAACCTCCGCCTCCCAGATTTAAGTGATTCTCCTGCCTCAGCCTCCCGAGTAGCTGGGATTACAGGAGCCCACCACCATGCCCAGCTAATCTTTAGTACAGACAGGGCTTCACCAGGCTCTTTGGCCAGGCTGGTCTTAAACTCTGGCCCTCAAGTGATCTGCCCACCTCGACCTCCCAAAGTGCTGGGATTACAGGTATGAGCCACCACGCCCGGCCCCAAGACATTTATAAAAGTACACTTTGCCTGGCTGTGTTGCCTTAGTTGACTGAGGAAAAGATCTCGCAAGAATTCCTTCCTCTGCGGGGTAAGGAAATTTCTTCCTGGTTTGTGGGGAAAGTCACTTTAAAAAAAGACGCTTGGTGGCCCCAAAGCTAGAAGTTATTTCTCTCTTAATGAACTCACTTTCTATAAATTAAGTCAACAGCTTATTCTCCTTAGTGCTCAAAAGAAGGCATTTATCTCCCTATTTTGTAACTATTCAGAAGGAAATCTGTGTTCCTACAAGATCCTGATTTTTAAAACAGGTCTGGATGTAAAAATGTTTGGCAATGGAATCTTGTTTTTCCCCACCAGGGTCAGTCTTCAACTCATCATGATGGGAAGACATTTCCTTTTCACAGTCGGCTACCAGCCTTCTTCTAATTAGCCAAATAGGGCAAACTCTTCTATCTCACCCATAATTTTAATCAAGGTGATGATATGTTTACTGTTTTCAAAAATTGAATTAAACTCCTACCCTCTGAAATTAAAATTCTGTGCAAGAAGAGTAGGGCAAAGCATTTGATACTTTGTCCCAGGTTTCTAAAATATGACAGCTCACATTCATATACCAGGTAAGTGATGATGATAGTTTTTTTTTTTTTGATATTTAATGATGCAGCTTCTAAATTTGCTAGTTCTGTCTTTAAGTGTGAACTTAAAAATTACGAAGATGCACCTGGGCGCAATGGCTCATGCCTGTAATCCCAATACTTTGGGAGGCTGAGGTGGGTGGATCACCTGAGATCAGGAGTTTGAGACCAGCCTGACCATGATGTTTCGAAACCCTGTCTCTACTAAACGTACAAAAATTAGCCGGATGTGGTGGCGGGCACCTGTAGTCCCAGCTACTTGAGAGGCAGAGGCAGGAGACTCACTTGAACCCAGGAGGCAGAGATTACAGTAAGCCAAGATTGCACTGCGCTCCAACCTGGGCAACAGAGCGAGACTCTGTCTCAAAAATAAATAAATAAATAATTATGAAGATGCTCACATACTCTCCTCAAGAGGGACAGAAATCCAGTTCTATCTACTACCTTACCTATTGATCAGTCCAAACTTTTCTTAAATCACACAAACTCCTGTTACCTCTTTGTGCCTTTGTGTATGCTATTTTCCCTGTCTGAGATGCCTTTTCCTTCTTTTTGCCAAACTCCATCTGGACTGAGATTCGGTGGAAGCTCCTCTGGATAGCTTCATTCTCATTTTTCTGTATATAATAAGGCTTTAATGAAATCATTCAACAAAGATGAGTCTTCCATTAAGGAAGAATCCTGGCTAGACAACTGTTTTGTTTGTTGATAGAAGTCTGGTCAATATCATCACTAACTATTAACTCATGCAATCCTACAGCAGCACCATGTCTTAGATATTTGCTGCCCATTATGTAAGCCAGAAATGAAAAAAAAAAGGGTTTCAAACTTAATATGGTGTTTACTGGGTTTGACTGCTTTGAAGATTCCCTAAGATAAGCCAGCTAGTCTGTAAGCCTATCTGAACAATGGTATTTTCCTCACTCATTTTTTAACACCAGTGAGGAACAGGAGGCGGCTAACAGCTTTCCAGAAGTACCTGTGGGCTAACTGTAAGATCAGAGCATCTTCTGAACAAAGGCCTTGGAGAGGCTTCAGAAATAAGGCAACCAGGCAGGGGACCAAAAGTCATGCTTTTAACCTCAAAACTAAGGCGGCCTATCCATAACCCAGAGAGGAGACTAAGGGGTTGCATATCAGTTTCTATAGTCTCATTATGTACCACATGGGGCTAACCATACAGTCCACCATCTTGATTTTGTCAGCCATTACAATGAAAAAAATATAGTTAAATATACTTTGCTAAAAAAAAAAATGGCACTTACATCAGCCTTGCAAATAAATATAAGATGTTTGCTAACCCACAAAATATCACCCACTAAGGCCTCCCTCCCACAGGAAAAACCCCTACACTTGGTTCTCCTAGGAATATGCCATTAATTGCCCTCAGCATGTGTGAGTGGCTAGTCACAAGTTAACTTTACAGCAATATTTAATTGAATGAATAGAACAATGTTGTGCTAATGAGGGTCAAATTGCCACCAGATGTTGCCTTTTTTTTTAAATAAACACAGCTGTGTACATGCGTGCACAGGCGATAAAAAACTAATAGTGAGAGAGAAAAGTGGTTCTAAGAAAACATTTGCAAGCAATAGAGAGAAAAATCTAGGGATTAATGAATTTCCATCCCGCCTTTCATTTTTATTTCAAACACATGAAAATTCACTAAACTTGGTGCTGTGAATATGCTGTACATTAGATATTATTTCCAAACAATCATTTATTAAATGGGGAGTTTTCTCCCAATGGGGGCAGAAGAGTGAGTCAGTCTGATGAGAAGCCATCGACAACCTGACTGTTCTGTGATGTCTTCCTTGAGGAGGTCCAGGAACCAGCTCGGAGTCTTCCAATCTCTAGCTGCACAAGCCCCTGTGCACACTTGGAAAGGCAAGAAAAGAACAGAAATGAAAAGTAGTAGCATTTACATTCTGCAATATCTTAACAGAGCCTCTCCCTGCAGCCATGAATTATAAAAGGGTAATGAAAGCAACAGGCATAGCCCTAGAGAGAGGAGGATGAATTCTGTGGCTCCTGGAGGGCCCATCTCATCAAACGCATTTAGAGAACAGTCACGGATACTCAGAATGTTCACAAGTATGAAGAACTTGCTTGTGAAATCCCAAAGCAGGTTCCCTTTCATTCTGTTAGTCAATAACAGAACTTTCTTTTAAAGCTATTCCTGCTCATTTAAAATAATCAGAGATTAAATTTCCAGTAAAAACTAGAGTTAGCATAAAGTCCAACCCATTTTATAATCAAGCTAGACTGAACAGTTCCCACTGGACTTCAGTTGTGCCAGCTGAGTAAAAAGCAGCCTAGCAACTCACCTTTAGGATGGTGGCCACTGTCTCCTGTGAGGCATTTCTCATGTCCTCCCCATTCACAGATAAGATCTGATCTCCCTGAATCAATCTCCCATCCAGGTCTGCGGCTCCGCCTTTCACGATGTCAGAAATAAACACTCCGCTTCCATTTCTGTTAATACCATACAGCAGTGCAGTATTGGCACAACCTAATATTTCCATCCATAATACGTGTGTGTGTGACACGATACACACACATATACTCCTTTCTTCTTCCAGTTTTCTTTTCTTTTTTTTTTTTTTTTTTTTTGAGACGGAGTCTCGCTCTGTCGCCCAGGCTGGAGTGCAGTGGCCGGATCTCAGCTCACTGCAAGCTCCGCCTCCCGGGTTCACGCCATTCTCCTGCCTCAGTCTCCTGAGTAGCTGGGACTACAGGCGCCCGCCACCTGGCCCGGCTAATTTTTTGTATTTTTTAGTAGAAACGGGGTTTCACCGTGTTAGGGATGGTCTCGATCTCCTGACCTCGTGATCCACCCGTCTCGGCCTCCCAAAGTGCTGGGATTACAGGCTTGAGCCACCGCGCCCGGCCTAGTTTTATTTTCTTTTTGTTTCTTTCATACCTTGGCAATTCGTCTTTATCAGCACATGGAGCTTCCTCATTTTTTAAATGGCTACATACTATTCTATGATGTTTCATAATTTCACTTACCAGTAGCTTACTGATGGACATACAGGTTATTTCCATTCTTTAACTATTGCAAACAACAAGCAATGAATATCTGTAAGTATATCTTTAAGATAAAGTCCTAGTGATGGAATTGTTAGTCAAAGAAAATTGTGACTTTTGAGAACTATACATCCTTTACCATGCAAGTTTTTGTGCTAAGGAATGTAAATGCTCCTTACAAACTCAACCTGAAATACTGATGTTCACTAAAAGCAAAAAACATTACTCTAAATGAAACTGCACCAGGTATACATATGCGTCAAAATAAGAAAGCAAACTTCAGCACTGGCTCTGTCAGTTGCTCTGCATCCAGATGTGCACTGATTTTTGTTTAGAAATGTAAGAGACTCAGCTTTTTTGGTTCGGTAATACATTTTCAGAGTGATGGTTTTATGGTGCTGAAGTAAAAAAAAAAAAAAAAAAAATGAGATTATGACAGCACAATACTTGGCCCAAAATCAGTACTCAAAAATTGTAGCTAATATTTTTATTTTAATAACAGCTTGGACTGTTGAACAAAAGCACTAGGCTAGTCACCAGAGGTCTGTGAGGGCATATAATGTAACATGCATAAAACCAACTTAATTTCTTCCTTAACAACATGGTCGATACACTTTAAGGCCATATTAGGATATTACCTGGAAATCCTATAGTCCTGTTGGGATAAACACATACTAGATACCTAAAAGCCAGTAAGCCATGGAAGCCAGGCTTTGTTTCAAGCTATTACTTACCTTTCCAATTCACTGCAAGAGAAACTTAGTAATATCATCCTGGAACAAACTACTGTTAAGCAGTATAGACTTCATTTTTCTTTATTTAAAAAATTGTTTTAGAGACAAGTCTTGCTGTGTTGCCAGACTGATCTTGAATTCCTCACCTCAAGTGATCCTCCCACCTCAGCCTCCTAAAGTGTTGGGATTACAGACGTGAGCCACTATGCCTGGCCTAGGCAACATGCATTTCTTTTTATTTATTATTTATTTATTTGTTTACTTTTGAGATGGAGTTTAGCTCTTGTTGCCCAGGCTGGAATGCAATGGCATGATCTCGGCTCACTGCAAACTCTGCCTCCTGGGTTCAAGCAATTCTCCTGCCTCAGCCTCCTGAGTAGCTAGGATTACAGGCACCTGCCACCACGCCTGGCTAATTTTTTTGTATTTTTTAGTAGAGATGGGGTTTCACCATATTGGTGAGGCTGGTCTTGAACTCCTGACCTCAAGTGATCCAACCACCTCGGCCTCCCAAAGTGCTGGGACTAGAGGCATGAGCCACCGCATCCGGCAGCAACATATATTTCAAAAGAGTAGCCTGGCCACTAGGATGTACCTACCTACATTTTTGGTGCAAACTATTACTTTGGGGACATCTTTCTTTCTTTTTTCCTTTTCTTTTCTTTTCTTTTTTTTTAATCTACAGATGGGGTCTTGTTATGTTTCCTGAGAGGCTCAAATGCAGTGGCTATTCACAGCCATGATCATAGCACACTATGGCCTCAAACTCCTGGCCTCAAGTGATCTTCCCACATAGCTGGGACAACAGGTACATGCCACTGTGCCCGGCAGGACATTTTTCTTAATAGAAAACTACTATCATGAAGAATTATGTTTATCTTTTAACTATGTCTACTCAACTAGTTTCAACATAGTATGAAATTAACAGTATGACACAAAGCAACGTTCCATGTTAATTTCCATGCTGAAGCAATGTTCTTGACCCAACACTGGATAAATCTCATTCTTGATACTAGGTATTTCTTGGGTATGGCTGCTTTAATTAACCTCTGCAAAACTCAGATCTTAGTAATTCCGAGTGAAAGAACCTTGCTAGCTGTTCTTACTCTGTACAGAAATATGACAGTCTGGGTTGATTGGGCTTGGAATTCTATATTGATATGACAATGTTTTTGGTAAGACCTTGCTCAGAAATATGACCCATGTTGTCAAATGTTCATAAATATCTCAGTTTTAGAAATCCCATCACTACTGTACATTAGGCTTTCTCTTTCAGCGTTCACAGGCATCAGAGCTCTGGATGAAAAAGGCAGATCCCGACTCGCACAGCATGTCTTTACCGTTTCCCAACAATGCTCAGGCCCAGGCCCCGGCCAGCTTTCTTCTGCAGATCCACAGGGAAAATCTCCAAGTTCTCCTCATCCCGGTAGTGTGCCTCATCTCTGTACACCACCAGCCGCACCTTCTGGGGGGTCTGCCTCAGGGCTGTGATGGCTTCTTCGTGGCTGGAGTTCCTCAGGTCAACCCCATTAACCTGGAACAATGGGCATCCTGAGCTGGGCTGCTGATGGCGAGGCCTCTGCCTGCTCTGTCTGCTGAATCTTCTTGATCTAATCAGTAAAGAATCTCTAGAAATTTCCAGCCAATCTCAAAGCAAACAGGTAGTGACCATGAGCAGTACGAGCTGCTTTGAATATAAAGGAGGTGGCCCTTAAAATATCCTACCCAACATGTGCACAGAGGGTGGATACACAATAATGCAGTTTTACATAGCTACAAACTTTACTGTGAAACCAGTGAAAGAGACAGGAGAGTGTGCACGCAGGGAATTAACTAGCTCACTTAATTGAGATCAAAGGGAAATAAATATTAGTGTTTAGTCAGCATTTTTATATTCAGTTTGCTGATTGGATTTGACATCTTCACTCTCATTTATTTACTTATTTTTTTAGATAGGGTCTTGCTCTGTTGCCCAGGCTGGAGTGCAGTGGCATGAACACTGCCTTACTGCAGCCCTGACTTCCCAGACTCAAGCAGTCCTTCAACCTCAGCCTCCTGAGTATCTGGGACTGCATATGTGTGCCACCATGTCTAGATAATTTTTTAAATTCTGGAGAGATGAGGTCTTGCCATATTGCCCAGGCTGGCCTCAAACTCCTGGACTCAGGTGATCCTCCTGCCTCGGCCTTTCAAAGTGCTGGGATTACAGGCATGAGCCGCCATTGGGGGGCCTGGCTGACATCTTACCTCTTGATTTGCTCACATCAACAACGGGATTCAATAACGAGCCATAAGGGGGAGATGACGGGGAAACCAGTATTTCTTTAAACCAGTAATTCCAAAAGGACCCCCTTGGAAGTCTTCTCATTTGGGAATTCTAGTTTTCTCAAGTGCGGACACAGGACAGGGACCAATGCGTTAGAAAGCCAGTGTTACCCCCGGCGCGTGGGGGTGGCTCCATGTTCTGTACTTCCCCAGCACTTTTGAGGCCTGAGGGCGGGGGATCCATAGGTCGAGGAGATCGAAGGGACCATTCCTGGCTAAACACTGGTGAAACTCAATTTTTCCTCTACTAAAAACCAACCAAAAAAATTTAAGGGCCCCAGGCGT